AATTATCCGGCCCAATCCCAACACCCCTACATAATATTTCCCCACAATTGGGCCACTACCCAATGGGCCTCTCTTCTCAACAATACCTACAGCCCACAATCCAACCAAACACCACCCTGCCCTTACCCATCAACCCCTCGGCCGAATGGTTCACAGGGCATTCTGGGCCCACGGCCTGCTCAGGGCCACATGGCTACTTACAGCTCGACGCCGACCGACATTGCACAGGCGCTCTATACTCTCTCTATGAGTCAGCCTTCTGACCCAGTTGGTTACATGGACACCGGCGCCTCTGGCCACATGGAGCAACCAGGTATGAATTCCCCGTCTATTTTTAATACTTGCACTAATAAGCAAATAATTGTTGGCAATGGCACAACCATTCCCGTAATTGGACAAGGCAACAAAACATTACCACCGCCTTTTCCGCCCTTCAAACTAAACAATATCCTTTATGCTCCTAACCTCATCAAAAACCTCATCTCTGTCCGTCGCCTAACGACAGACAACTTACTTTCCATTGAATTTGACCCGTTTGGTTTTCTTGTAAAGGATCTCAAGACCAAGGAACCTATCCTACGCTGCAATAGCTCGGGAGACCTCTACCCTCTGACCACCAACTTCATCAAGCCTCCCTCCAAACCTGCTGCTCTAGCTGCTGTTACTCACGACCGTTGGCATCAACGCCTTGGGCACYCGGGCACCTCTTTATTGCATTCGTTAAAGTCTAGTTCGTTTATTGATTTTCGTAAACCGAACATTACACTTTGTCAATCCTGTATTTTTGGCAAAAGTGTTAAACTTCCGTTTTATGCTTCTATGAATAAAACTCATTTACCCTTTGATATTATTCACAGTAATTTGTGGACCTCCCCGGTTTTAAGCATCGGCGGTCATCGCTATTATATATTGTTTCTTGATGATTTAACGGATTTTCTATGGACTTATCCCCTAACCAATAAATCTCACGTTTACAACACCTTTACCAATTTCCATAACCATATTCATACACAGTTTGAACGAAAAATTAAACAGTTCCAATGTGATAATGGCACTGAATACACCAACAATAATTTTAAACAGTTTTGTCACATCCATGGAATGCAATTTCGTTTCTCCTGTCCCCACACCTCCTCCTAGAATGGCAAAGCCGAGAGAAAAATACGAACCATCAATAACATGATTCGTACCCTTTTATCTCAAGCCTCTTTACCTCCCTCATTTTGGCATCATGCTCTTGAAACCGCCACCTACCTCCTAAACATTCTCCCTAAGAAAATCCACAAATTCTTATCCCTCACTACCCTTCTATACAATGTCCTCCCAACCTACACACATCTTCGCATGTTTGGTTGCCTATGCTATCCCACCACCCCATCCACCACCATAAATAAACTCACCAACCGCTCCAAACCTTGTGTCTTTCTTGGTTACCCTTCACACCATCGCGGATATAAATGTTTTGACATCTCTAATAATCAAATCTTTATATCTCGTCATGTCCAGTTTGAGGAATCCATTTACCCCTTCTCCATACAACACTCCAATACCACCCTAGACTACACCTTTCTTTCCCCTCCATTTAACCCACTGTTGTGGGATAATGTCCACTCATCACAACCCACTGTCCCACCCAACGCCCCACATCCCACTTCCCTCGGCCCAACTCCAGCCGGCCCTACCGCATCACACCAACCTTCACCATCTCCTCCTTAACCATCAGGCCCACGCCCAGCTTCCCCTAGCCCAACCAATTCTCCACCTTCTGCCCACCCTTCGGACCCAGCACCGAACACTCAGACTCCACCTCAACTGTCACCTCAACCCACCCCTCCCCACTCGGTTCCACAACAACCGCCCCGTACCATGCGCACTAGAGCAATGGACGGTATCACCAAACCCAAACAACTATTCAACCTTAACACTACTTCCATTGTTCCAATCCCGAAAACTCCCCACCTTGCCTTGTCCACTCCTGAATGGTACGATGCCATGCAAAACGAATTTAGTGCACTTATTAAAAATGAGACTTGGGAACTAGTACCACGTCGCTCGGACATGAATATTATTCGTAGTATGTGGCTCTTTAAGCACAAATTTCGTTCCRATGGCTCTTTAGAACGTTACAAAGCAAGGTTGGTATGTGATGGTCGTAGTCAACAGGTTGGGGTTGACTGTGGTGACACTTTCAGTCCGGTGGTAAAACCAACCACTATACGGACGGTTCTCACTCTGGCTCTCTCTAAATCATGGCCCATACACCAATTAGATGTTACCAATGCATTTTTACACGACCACTTGCAGGAAACCGTTTACATGCACCAACCAATGGGATTTTGCCATCGGGACTACCCTGATCATGTTTGCCGCCTCAAGAAGTCTCTTTACGGCCTCAAACAGGCACCCAGGGCCTGGTATCAACGGTTCACTGATTTTGTCCTTCAGCATRGATTYACTCAGTGCAAAACGGATAATTSCTTATTTMTTTATCACYACGGTCMTGATGTCGCCTATCTTCTAATCTATGTGGACGACATCATACTCACCACCTCCTCTGACCAACTCCGGCAACGGCTCTTGACTATTCTTGCAGGTGAATTTGCTATGAAGGATTTGGGACCCTTATCCTATTTTTTGGGCATCTCGGTCACTAGAACRGGTGACAYGCTTTTTCTGTCACADCATGCATATGCCAAAGAYATYATTCATCGCGCAGGTATGGACTCATGCAAACCTGCAGCGACCCCGGTAGACACTCAGAGTAAATTGGCCAGTGAACCGGATTCATTATTTGTTGACCCTACCACCTATAGAAGTCTTGCAGGTGCATTACAGTACCTCACCTTCACAAGACCCGACATAGCATACGCCGTTCAGCAAATATGTATGCACATGCACTCTCCTTGCATGGCTCACTTGAACGCTCTTAAGCGTATCATCAGGTACTTACAAGGCACTGCTGACTATGGTCTTCATCTCCGCTCTTCTTCGGCACTCTCCATTCGTGCCTACACWGATGCTGATTGGGCAGGTTGCCCTGATACTCGTYGCTCTACATCCKGGTACTGTGTCTATCTCGGCGACAACCTGATTTCATGGTCCTCTAAGAGACAATCCACCATTTCCCGTTCTAGTGCAGAGGCCGAATACCGTGGAGTTGCCAACGTGGTTGCAGAAATATGTTGGCTGCGAAATCTTCTTCTTGAGCTACATCGTCCATTGACCAAAGCTTCCTTAGTCGACTGTGACAATGTCAGTGCCATTTACTTATCGGGC